TAGCAATCCAGGTGGAGAGTTTTGAAGTGGGCAGGTGGTCTGGCTGGTTAGTTCTGACTTATTACAAAGGCATCTCCATGCTTTTTGATTTGCTTTCCATCACTCGTGTTAAACAACTGCATTCTTATAAGGCAGTTCATCTGCTACATGCGAGCACACACTAATTGCTCATGTCACACTAACAGCACAGGCACATGAAGAAAGTGCAGTAAGTGATGCCTCTTACAAAATTTTTTTTTGTTTATCATACTGAAAACAAGCACTTTAATAAAGCCATTAGCAACTGGTTTAGATTTACAGCACTCTATCAAGATTTTCAGAGGCATGGTGACTGTTAAAGGTGTGAGACTTTTTCTGGTTTGCAGCAAAATTGCTTTTCACAAGTTGTCCCAGAAGATCTTTGTTTTTTTAAAAAAAATATTTTGCAAATGAATTCTGTAACAGGGAGAGGTGTAGAATTATGGGGATGAAAGCACATGTGGGGAAAATCATCAGCATCATCTCTCTGTTTGTATTTTTTGATGTGATGTTTCTTATCACAAGGGAAGGAGGCACTTCTGCAGCTTCCCTACCCCTGAGCCTCCTAGTAGCTCAGAGAGGTATCACGAAGCCACTCACTACTCCATCTCCATTTTATTTCTTGTCATTCATTTAACACAGCCATACTGTTTTGAGACCTCTGCCCATTCCTAAGTAAAAGCATCCAAAGTGGCTGGAACAACTGGTGAAAAAATTATAAACATTTTCAGCTGCAGTTGTTCAGATTCTGGATGAGTTGTTTATAAACATCCTGTCTAGAACTGTCAAGAGGTGGAGCTAACATCATTGAAAGATGATAAATTCTGACACGGTGCTCTGAGATTTCACTGCCACCGAATGTAGGTTAATATGGGATTCAATAGGAAATCTGGCTTGTGTATTGCTGCATATTACAGGAAACGAAGGAACTTGTCATTTGTCTGCAGATTGCTAATTGCAGTTTATTGCACATGCAAAAGGTTAATTTGGGTATGTTATCACAGTAATCACATGAACTGTCTCAGAATAAACTATACCCCTACTCTTACTGATGATCTGACCTATGAGATTTGGGACATTATTTTGTAAGATTATGGCAAATAAGAATTTTGAGTAAATGCTGTAACAGTGGGCAGCAGTGTCCTTGGGTGTAAACAACAGAGTGGAGGTGCAAGTCTCTGGTATGAAATACTTTTCCTTGACCCCTAATTTAATTATTCCCTGGGATGCCTGCAATTTATTCTTTGTGATAACACACTGAAAACAGAAGTCTCATCTATTCTAAATGAAAATTATGTTCTATTCTTATTATTGCTAATGCTTTGTATTTACAGTAGTATTTAAAGGCCTGAGATTAATTCATGACCTCTTCATGCTAGGTGCTGTATATATACACACAGTAAGCTCACTGCCCTAAAGACCTTACACTTTAATTAAATAAAGGTTGGAGGAAGGAAGTTTTATTACCTCTGTCACAAATGGGAAATGATAACAGAGAGAAACTAAAAGGACTGAGAATTACACTCCTCCTGCAGTGAGTCCTGTATTTGCCTGTAATATATCCTCCCTTCCTGCTTTTGTTAAATTGCTGTAAATTGGTAGGTAGATGGTTGGTCTCTCCCCCAGAGATGGAGTTTAATTCTGTGCATGTTTCAAGGTTTTATGGAATGAAAGGCATTATGTAGATAGGTAACACTTTAATTTAGACTTGATTAAGTTATTCTGAAGAAACATTTCCATGGAGGGAGTAAATTCATATAAATCTGGTGTGTGTTGCTTGTTGCCATACGAGCACACCACTGCATAGATGCTGTGCTCCCTGGGGGCTGTGCTGTTGGTGCATGTGGGTTTTAAGGTACATCAGTAGAACTTTTTAATTGTTATTATTCCCTGTAGTTTGCTCTTAAATGTTTTCTAAAACACTAAAAAAAGTAATAGTCCTCAAGATGTGGGAGCATTCCACAGGATTCATGGGACTCTTGGAACACCAGGGCATGCTTAGTCTCCCAGAAATGCATCTTCTTCTCCCCCTGCCCCCTGAAAGGATCATGCTTATTCTGAAATGTATTTTAAACATTTTTAATTAGAGCGTCTAACTTGACATTAAAAAAATAAAGCTAGATCTCCCTGGGCTCTTGCTTTGGGAAATTTTTTCCTGTAGAGGAACATAAACCTGAAGATAACTCATTTTCCTTTTTCTCCTCAGTCAGTACATGGATGTTTAGTACAGTACAGTGATCTTGGGCAGAAACACATAGTTTAAGCACATGGAGTGGGAAGGGGGAGGGAGAGAAAAAGGGATGAGTCAGGTGAAGAAACAAAACAAAAACCAGGTAAAATCCAAGCACAACCCAACCGCTCACCTCATATCTTTGCACTTACAGCATTTGTGACACTTGCTGTTGGACTTCAACACCACCAGTCCTCTACACTGATGTGTCTTTCCCTCACCTCTGTCCTGTCCTGCCCCTGTCTGGTAAATGGGTACAGTTATGTTCTGTCTCACAGGTTTTAGAGTCCTTGACTTAAAAATACTGCAAAGAAGCAGACTTTTAATTTCTATTTTATTTAATAATAAAGAGCATTATTTTGTTGTTATAAGCCTTATGGATCCTTGAGAAGTAATCTCTCATTTACCCCGTGGAAACCACTGCTGCTGCCTATGGAATTTAATTTGTAAAATAAGTAATCTTTTAAGTATGAAACTTAGTTGATGGGACAAGCTCAGCACTTAGGAAAGCACATCACCAGTGTATACCCTTGCTAGAAAACAATCCACTGGAGCTTTGTTATACAACATGCTAACATCCTGAGGAAGTGACAGTAATTTGCAATAAACACTGTGTGTAAACAATTACCTGTGACTTGTTACACTTGTTTGTACAGGCAGCTGGCTAAACAGATCCGGGTGCACTTGTAAACGTCTGTCCCCCGTCATACCTGATACTGGAAAACAATTACTTATTATGTGATTTCTCTGAAGTATGAAAATGTCAGTGGTTTGAACCTGACAGCTGGCAAGGACTGAGTATGCGTGCTTATAGATACAGGGAGAAGAGCTGGAGAAATAAAATGTGATTGGTGGCGTTTTTATGACAAAGGTGAGGACACTTTCATATCTAGTCACCAGACCGAAGCAAAGTTTTTGGGACAGGGTACTTGAGAGCAAAACCAACTTTCACTGGTTGAAGGGTCCTTTGGCGGTACAAGGTCCAAGGAAGAGGCGGGGTGATCTATTTTCCAGCGGTTTAGCAAAAGCCCTGGGATGCTGGTGGCACTGCGCTCGCTGCACGAGCGGCCGTGCGAGAGGCGCTGTTCCCCTGCGGGCTCTCTGTG